CTGGATGCAGCCTGAATTCAGATGAGATAAGCATCTTTTTAATTCAATTTAACTATAGTGCAATAATCTCCTTGGTGTTGTTGTTTTGTTCTTTTGAAAAACCTCAGACTTGTATATTGATCCTGTAAACTGTCTTTCGAACTTTTATGTAGAGGAGAAACCATTCATTTAAAGACATCTGGTGGCTCCTATCTACTTCAGAATGTGAAGGAGCTAGCCAAGGTGCTGAATCAATGTTTTGGTACTGTTCAGGACACTGGAGAGTTCATTTACACTGCAGATGAAAAGCTGGAGCACAACTGCTGCTCTGTTGTTGTTTACATAGAAGTCACCAGTTATGTGTGTGTCATGTGCCTTCAAGTCATTTCTGACTTAGGGTGACTCTAAGGTGAACCTATCATGGAGTTTTCATGGCAAGATTTGTTTAGAGGAGGTTTGCCATTGCCTTCTACTGAGGCTGAGAGCATGTGACTTGCCCAAGATCACCCAGTGGATTTTATGGACAAGCAGGAATTGAATCCTGGTCTCCAGAGTTGTAGTTCAGTGCTCAAACCACTACACCTTTCTAGCTCCAGCTACTACTGCAATAATATACAACTGGGGTTCCATTATTTCACTAGTGCAGATAATCTCTTCTCTCGTGCAAATCCCAAGCATTCTACACTGTTGTTGTGTTATTGTTCTTTTGGCCAGCGCATCACCTTGCAGACAGCCTTCTGATGAGCTAAAGTGATTAATCTCTCTGAGATATGATGGCTGCAAGTAGCCTAAAATACTCGCTTCTGGAAAAAGACTGGAGATGACAGAAAATGGAATAGAGTCTTCTGGAAGAAGACAAGACCAGATGATTAGAATACTAAGGCTGTATCTGACCGCAGAAATAATCCAGTTTGACACCACTTTAATCGCTATGGCTCAATGCTATGGAAGTCTGGAAATTGTACTGTGTTGTGGCACCAGAGCTTTCTGAAAGAGAAGTATGTCTCACAAAACTAAAATTGAGTCATTGAGTCATGGCAGTTAAAGTAGTGTCAAATTGGATTATTTCTTAAGACTGGGGATTGGCAGCACATAGGCCATGGGCCACATGTCCCCCTCAGATTGTCACTCCCAAAAGTCATGTTGCTGAAATTGTACTAACAAATTTTGGCAGCAAAGCACTGAAGAGGCTTTAAAATAAGCAGGAAATTCTTGCTTTGGAATGGATGGGCAACTGTATGAAGTGCAGGGGCCAGTTTCTCTCCAGTCTTCTTTCCCATAGGTTGCAGACCCCCAATAGTCTGGGGGTGCTCCTTGACTCATTGTTCCTGATGACAAATCAGGTAAATGTGATGATCAGGAATGCCTGTTATCAGCTTCGGCTGATACGCCAGCTGCACCCTTCTCTGGAAGTAAGGGACCTTGAGACTGTGGTACACGCGCTGGTAACCTCATGTCTGGATTTCTGTAACGTGCTCTACATGGGGCTACCCTCGTGCTTGGTCTGGAAAAATCAGTAAGTACAAAACATGGCAACCAGAGTGGTTTCTGGAACATCTAG